AACAATACTGGTTTACTAAGAAAAAGGAGATGGCTTCACTTCAAGATCAGTTTAACTTAGGACATTAACTTAAAAAGGCGAAAAATAAATAGTATTCAAGAACTAATCAAGCATAATTCCTTTAAAAGTTTCTAAGCTCAATTTTTAATTAACTAAAATGAAATAGAAATGCTTTCCTTATATTAACTTGTTGGTCCCTGTGCCACTCTGGCTCCACATGAACCCTTTGGAGTCAGCACTCAGACATGTGCAGGTAATCCTCCCCACCCCCCACCCCCATCAGAACCAACAGCATCTAATGAACACTGTAACAACAGTCCTTTCTTTCCTCACTAAGCATCAAGGCTTGAAAAAAGTTTTAGCTGTCTACTATCTATCCATCAAATATTTCAACAGTAACAGAGAAAGCCCTCTGAGGCTCTGGAAGCAATAGAGGTAACAGGCAGCACAACATCGTCTTTTGAGTGCCTACGGAGTTCGTCCATCATCCAGCTCTTATTTGCTATTTTGCAAACACAGCAGCTCTTCCTTATACACAATTCAATTTAGGTACTACTAAATCATATACTTTTACATCTCTGTTAAATATACTGGTTTTCTCACACTTCCATTAATCAACCAAAGAATTAAATCTCAATCTACCATTTCCCTTAAATTCCTCTACAAAACATCAGTGCTCTGCTCTTTAAACACGTAAGTGCTTATTATAACGTAAACAAATAAAAACAGAAGTTCCTTCCCAAAATAATTGTACAATGCCAGCTGAAGAGGCACAGGTACTAGAACCAGACCTGATCTGAGGGCCAAGACACACTAAAAAATACACTTCAAAATTAATACCTATCTCTCCTGTACATTTCGCATCTCAGGGCAATGTTTAAGAACAACGTCTGCAAATGGGTGCTCACTTATAGGATTAACTTATAGTACGTTTTACCCAAAGATGAACCCTTCCTCTTCTCACAACTAAATTTTACTACTGTCAGTCTCAGGCACTGACCCTAATTTCAACTTTCTCAATCAAGAGCTAAAAATTTTTAATGACTGTAGTGAAATATAAAAAGAAACAAAAACTTAAACTTCACAGCATCAAAATGACACCAACTAAAACCAATTTAGTAAATTAGCAACCCAATATATTAAAAAACCTCTTATTTTTCTGATTTTTAAAAAACTTTAATTTTCAACAAGTATAGACCAAATCTCATTTAACTTTATAGGAAGAATCCAAACCTTTACACTAAGATTCTGTGGTAACAAACTGCTTGACAGGAGTGGCTTACGCTCATACAGGGATTTCACTGTAGCAATATTTGCTGTATGCAAGGATACCCAATATATAGGAAAATGCATCTTTTTCAGAGACAATGCAATATAAGAGAACATACATATTTTACAATTAAGATACCAACTTTGTTTCTAACTGGATACTCAAAATAGCTTATCCTATTAAATGGTTCAAATGCTTTCAGCAAAATCTTAAGAGTACTAACAAACTCCTTTCTTATCTATATAAAACAAAGATACAACAAGTCTCCATTAATGAGCTCGTTAATAAAACCAATCCAATGGGCTAAAAAAGTTCATTTTTATAATTATAAAATAGACCAACTATAAAAACATAGTTTTAAAATTATATTTTATAACATACGATAATATATAATACACAATAACGTAATATACAATAACAATATTATGCAGTCTTAATTTTTATTCCTAAGGATTTTATAACTAAAGAAATAAGACTAAAATAAATGTAGTAATTGGTAAATATCAACAAGGACATCACTTGCTGGATGATACACTATAGATAACTTTTTTAGACTGTATTCCCCTCTTGGAGGTGTTTTAGGCTGCCTCAAAATAAGGAAGAGGCAAATGAGCAATTCCATTTTTTACTTTTTTCCCCCCATTTTTTATTTATTTTATGACGGTCTAAGGTAAGAAAACAAAACTTAATGGTAAAACCATCAGAAAAAAGTACATTATGAAGTCGTTCAAGTAAGAAGGCCAAACTACCTACTGTTTAAAAGTAAACAAAATATAAACGTAGATTTGAAAGGGTTCAAAATCTAAGTAGAATGTTAAAAATGAAGAATGGGTTGGGGCAACTGCCTGGGTGTACAACTGATCTTGGGTTGTGAGTTTGAGCTCCACGTAAGAATGGAGATCACTTAAAAATAAAAAAATCTTAAAAGAAAATGTTTAAATGCTTGGAGTCCCTTTTAATATTGCTAAATATTAAGAAATAGAATACTGGTTGTAATTATGTTTGAAAGATGTTCAGGGAACAAAGACCAGTGAATGTAAACTCTATTCTCTACACAGAGAATATACTGGAATTACTTCTGATATAAATCTAAAAGGTTATGTTAATTGGTGATATCTTTATTCACAAACTAGAAATAATTATCTTTGCTTGTGGTTACCTGAAAGACACCAATCAGAAAAGGTCCTGCTGTATACTTACATTTTGGCATACAGTTTTTACCATTTAAAGGATTAGAACTGGCTAACTAACATAAAGGTGTATGAAGAAACCTTTACAAAGGCTCATAGGGGAGGAAGGATTGCTTCTTTGCTCAAGGACAAACCAATGTGCTCTACCTTTATCTGATTCTACATCCTTCCCTTGTGTAACCCACTCCCATCAATAAATCTCTCAGGAAATATTGAGTACCCTTTATGTGAGGAGGGTGGGTCAAGAAGGGAGGACAAGCACTGTTCAAAATTACTGACATGAAACAAAAACAGAACAAAGCAATTCTTTGTCCTTAATAACCTCAACCCAAGCAACTAAAACAGTGTGTTGTTGGCTGCACGGTTTTAGAAACTAGTTCTAAGAACTCTACATTCCTTTACGAAGTGTTTGGGCATCTACTAGTCACGTGATTCTCCTTGCTTAGGAGGACAGTAAAATACAGATGGATATCCAAAACGAATAATTATAACTACACTTTGAAAAGAATCCAGTATTTTTCCCTATTATAGAATAGAATAATTTACAAACTGGAAAGATTTCGGCAAACAGCTGAAGAATACTCACTTCTGTTCCAATTCCCGGTTGCACACCCGAGTACACACTGTCTGGCGGAGGACCGCCATACTTCCTCTGTCCTGTGGTTACATCCAGAGTATAGCCAGTCCTCTCAAGCAACGCCTAAAGACAATTATACATCTGTTTATACTTGAATTGTAGGCAAATTAAATCTCTAAGCACAGAACACATTTTTGTTACGAACGAGAACAGAAAGACGGGGTAAGGATTATTAAAAATGTGACAGAAGCTAACCCCCGGCTATCTACATACACATACTGCAGCATTCCTCATTTGCATTCTCCTCTACTCCAATGAGAGCTTTCCTTAACTTGTTCCCTTTATATACCATATATCCACCTGTGATTCAATTCAAATAAAATGTTCTCTACTCTTAAAAAATCAGAAGTCCCAGGGTGTCTGGGTGGCTCAGTCGGTTAAGCATCCAACTCTTGATTTCAGTTCAGGTCATGGTCTTGTGGTTCATGGTTCGTGGGTTTGAGCCCCTCAGACTCTGTGCTGACAGTTAGGAGCCTGCTTGGAATTCTCTCTCTCTCTCCTTCTGTCCCTCCCCCAATCACGCTCTCTTTCAAGAACAAATGAATTACAAAAAAATAAAAAATAAATCAGAAGTCCTACCTCCTTCATGCAGCTTTCTTCATTTGCTATGTCTCACATCTTCCTACTCTGACTTTCTATTATAGTCAGGTAATTTAACCTTTGTTTTGTTTAATCCTTTTGTCTTTACTTCCTGCTATATCATAAGCTCTATAAAAACCAGACCATTTCTCATATAGCACGGATTCGAAATATGTGGCAATTACCAAATGAGTATACTCAGGTTCAAAAACAAAAAACAAACAAACAAAAAACAAGCAACTTTATGCTTCCTGATTACCAACTTTTTCCACAACATTATATTAGGTATTGAAGGAATACAGAAAAGAAAGTAAGGGTTTATATTTATAGGAGAGGCCTAAAAAAACAGAAAAAATGGAAAAAAAGGAAATGCAATTACCTAAAAAGGGGAGAATTTTACACTTCATGTCTTAAAAATGAGATGGTCCCTGATTTGCGGTGATTTGACTTACAAGTTTTGGCTTCAGGATGGTGTGAAAGTAATATGCATTCAGTAGAAACCACACTTCATATTTTGTTTTTTATCTTTTCAATATCCAGTAGGATATTCTCGTGATGCTGGGCTGTGGCAGCCCAGGGAGGCTCAGCTCCCTGTCAGCCATGCGATCACAAGGGTAAGTAACCAATACACTCACAACCATTCTGTACCCATACCGACCAGTTTTTCACTGTCAGTACAGAACTCTATATAAATTACGTGAGATATCTAACATTTCATTATTAAGACATGCTTTGTGCCAGATGATTTTACCCAACTAGGCTAATGTTAAGTGTTCTAAACACATTTAAGGTAGGCTAGGCTAGGGGTGCCTCAGTGGCTCAGTCAGTTAAGTGTCTAACTCTTGATTCTGGCTCAGGTCATGATCTCACAGTAGTAAGGTCCTAATATCAGTTGTGAGGTCCTGAGAACAGGCTCCCACTGGGTGTAGAGTCTGCTTGAGATTCTCTCTCCTCTCCCTCTGCCCCTCCCCAGTTTGCACACATATACATAGGTGCTTGCTCTCTCTTAAAAAAAAAAAAGGCAGGCTAAGCTACAATGTTTGCCAGGTTAAGTGTTATCAGGTGAATTTTCAACTTAGGATATTTTCATCAACTTAAGATGGGTTTACCTAAGTGTAACTCCATCCTAAGTTGAGGAAGATCTATACACAATGTCAAAGCAACAAGAGATTTTAGACATCATCAGGTTTAGTGGTTTTCAAAAATATCTTTGGAGGAACTCTGGGATTCCAGAGTTATCTCAGGCTCTCTATTCTTCTACCTTTGACTCAAAAAGAGCTGCTCTACCTTGAAGCACAGAAATAAATGTTGATACACAATAAAAACACACTACATATATTACATACTTACACATTACTTGTCTAATATGTCATATACACATATCACATGTATAATACATACCTTACCAAGAGCAAATACCCAGCCTGAGGGAAATAACATAGGCCTATTCAATACACGCTAATAAGTTTTCCTTAAAAATAACTATTATGTCAGATGGGCTTTTCATGTATTTATTTTTTTAAGTGTACTTATTTATTTTGAGGGAGAGAGCAGGGGAGGGGCAGAGAGAGAGGGAGAGGGAGAGAGAGAATCCCAAGAAGGCTCCATGCTGTCAGCACAGAGCCCGATGCAGGGCTTGATCTCAGGAGCCACCCAGATGCCCCTCACATATTCATTTTAAAAATACAGGGGTGGGGCGCCTGGGTGGCGCAGTCGGTTAAGCGTCCGACTTCAGCCAGGTCACGATCTCGCGGTCCGTGAGTTCGAGCCCCGCGTCGGGCTCTGGGCTGATGGCTCAGAGCCTGGAGCCTGTTTCCGATTCTGTGTCTCCCTCTCTCTCTGCCCCTCCCCCGTTCATGCTCTGTCTCTCTCTGTCCCAAAAATAAATAAACGTTGAAAAAAAAATTAAAAAAAAAAAAAAATACAGGGGTGCTTGGGTGGCTCAGTGGGTTGAACATCCAACTCTTGATTTTGGCTCAGGTCAGGGCCTCACTGTTCAAGAGTCTGAGCCCTGCACTGGGCTCTGCGCTAAGAGCGTGGAACCTGTTTGGGATTCTCTCTCTCCCTGTCTCTCTCTGCCCCACCCCTGCTCCCACTCTCTCTCTCAAAATAAATAAGTAAATACTTAAAAAAAAAAAAATGGGTTATGCCATTTTATAGATGAGGGGGGAAAAGGTACAAAAGGAGGTTTATGTAAACCAGTTCCATGATAGAAGCCACAAGTTCTATTTCCTGTCTAAAACATAAGACTGCACAAACAGCTTCACTAAGTAAAGTAACTATTTCAACTTGAAAAGTCTATCGCTGTGGCAATAAAACATCAACATCCATTTAACAAAGGAATTAGGTTCACTGGTCTTTCACCAAAAGCCCTATATTCACCTTTCAGGGAAGTTTATCTCAAGGACAGTAACAGTAATGGGTGCTAGTTACACAGTTCTTGCCACATTCCAGGCATTATTCCAAGCACATGACATATCTTAATTCCTTTAATCCTCACAACTCTATGAGATGGGTACTATCACTCTTCCCAGTGTACAAACAAGGACACTGAAGTAGATAAAGAGAAACAAAGTGCTTAGAAAGACACCAAACCAAGAGACATGACTGAATCAATCTAAAAAGCTATTATCAGAAGCATCAATAAACATGTACCATGCACAGTCAGAAGAACAAGTAATGAGGCAAGAGTCTGAATTAGGGCTTTTCACCAAACATACAATTGAATGTTTGCCCCTGAAATGCTTCTTAATTTTCCTTAAATTATCTCATTTCTAAAACGCTAGTTTAAAAAAAAAAAAAAAAAAAAGTGGAACTGTAAAAACTTCCTAGAAAACATGAAAAAAAACCTTCAATCTCATCATTAAACTTAGTATCACCACGACTACCCAAGTCAAGTTTTACCTTGATCTTTGCTTCATCAGGTCCCTTTGTGGACTCTTGCACCTTGCTCCCCTGCTTCTCCCTTTGCCTGTAGGTCTTCATAACTCCACATAAAAATGCACTTTTGTTCTAGAACAGGCAAGTAATTCAATGAAAAAGAACCACCAGGAATTGTCGAAAGGTCAAATACATAATTAAATTACAATTTCAAAAGACAAGAATTTTAACAAAATATTTACTCATTAATTCACCCACCAAATATTTGCTGAGAGGCTACTATGTACTGGAGACTGGAGCAGAGGGTAAGAGCCAAGACCTCAGGGAGCTTACCTTCCACACTGGCAAAACAGTCTTCTATTTTGTTCATATTCAAGTGCGTCTGGATTATCTTTGCCAGACATTCCAAAACTATTCTTATCTACATTATTTCCCTCCAAGATAATAAAACAGAATCAAAGAACCCAAAAATGTTTAAGATCGCAGGAATCTAAACATGTAAAAACCTACTAATAACAATGAGCAAACCCTGTTTTTAAAGTAACTTACTGCAAAGCGGGGCGAGACTTTTACTTTACACTTTTGTTTCTGAAAACTCTTTGCCATAAGCAGGTTTTTCTTTTCTTTGGACTAATTTTTTTAAAAGAAGTGGAGGTAGTCACAAAAAAATACCAACTCCCTCAAGAAAAAAGTAATGGTAAAGTAATTTCAGATCATGAGTTGTTCAAAGGTATTTCTAGCAATGGCCTTACCTGAACATGTGATAAGTCACTTTCCTTGAACTGTTGTAGTACAGACAGAGCTCCTTCTTCATTAAATTCCCTGAGAGCATCAATTGCTCTTTCATCAAGATCGACATAAGCTACCAATCCTAAAAATTAAATTGAAAAGGAGTAATGTTACTGCAACAAAAGGGATAATCTAAACTGTGGTACCAATGTTTAATCAAGAATTGTTATATTCGACACTATTACTAACAAACTGCATTTTCACTGAATATGCATACAGGCAGCTATACAAATACTATATACACAGAAAGGTCAAGAGTACAAATATGAAAATAAGAGATAAAATGTCAACAACTTATAAACATAAATTTCAATCCCCACATCCCACAAAAACCCCACAAAAATCCTAACCCCGTTTCCCACTCCCCAAAAGGTTTAAGGTTTGGAAGTTAAATCTGATGCACACACTGTACTACAGATTAAGCATTAATATAACAAACTCTGATTTATGTTAGAGTAGTAAGCATACACTGTATTCCCCAAGGATCAACCTTCAAATTATATGGACTGCTGTAGTCGTTGCTAACCACACAAGAGGTGGGAGGAAAAAAAAAAAGAAACCATTTTTATTAAATAATTCTTTCCACTCTCCAAAAGGTATCAAAGGCTTTTCCTCCTTAGCACCAAAGAGAAAATGAAATTGATTTGTTTATCTGAGCATCCACTTTGCTGCAATCAGAATGTGGAAAGGCATAATTTTAAACTCTTCTACAAATGCAAGTGCAGCTTGATTAATCAATTCTGAAAGTCATTTAAGGCAATCTTTTGTTCTCTTGATGTGTGTCAAGCTGAGGTTTAAAAGATGCTGTGGCATTCACAACACTGTCAATAATGACTATTTTTTTTCAAATGGCATTAAGGACTTTACTGTGGACTTACAAGTAAACTATACAGAAAATATATTGGCACTGCAATCTATACATATATTAACTGCACACAGAACAACTACTCAATTTATAATATAGTTTCTTAAGTCTGTTAAGTTTGTGTTGTGTTTCTCTCTATGTAAGAATATATTTCAGAATTGATCCAATGTAAAATGGAAATATTTGGCAGATTAAAACCCGAGTCCATATGAACTAACATCAAAAGTGACTCCATTTTGATAAAGCCAAAAAGAACGTTATTCCATACAATAAATATATTTTAAATAAATGTAATGCCATTTGTAAAGTTACTTTAAGAAAATGTTGCCAAGATTTGTTTTAAAAGCTCAAAATGAGCATGCCTAAATAATTGGAGTTTCCTTACTTCCATATTCCATACCACCACCCAAAGCCACAACTCAGGACACCCATCAATCCATTCTGTCAATCCAACCCTACACCCAAACCATCAGCCTCTTATCAATAACAAACACTCTACAAGAGAGCATCTCTGAGCAAATCACTGCCAATTCTCTATGGCAGAATGTCACAGCAAGTTCCTGAGGACTGATTTTCAAATGGAACCATCACCCAGGAGTCATTTTTAGAAAGTCATTTTAATGTCTAAAATTATCCTAAGCTTCTCAGATTTGAAGAAAAAAAAAAAAAATTTTAAGGACAAAAAAACAGATATTTGTTACTAGAGTACTTAAGACACATTTGTCAGACAATTCAATTCTCTCTCCCAAATCTGGATAGGCACACAAAACACAGAGGAAGAAAGTTTCCATCTATGGCCCCAAAGGGGGAGGACACATTTATTTATGAACAACACTCCCTAAGGGTAAATATTTCTCTCCCTCTTTAAAACTTCAAACCACTTACAACCAACCATATTAAGATATTCATATTTGCTTAAGCACTTATCCATGGGACTTCTAGATTTTTTTTAAAAGCAGCTGTTACAAACCAAACACTTCCAAATTACTGAGAGATGTGGATTTCTGTCTATTAGAAACTTAGACAGGCCACAAACTCTCAAGAAGTCTGATATTTATTATCGTTTCAGACAATACAGTCTCACCAGTCCTCTTATTATGCCACCTAATCAGACCTAAGCTGATTTAACAATCACTTTAAGAAGCTAAAAGTAGAAAAGTAAAAGCAAAATGATGACTGATTTAGATTAAGAAAATGTAAAATTTGGTATGCTGAAACATACATTTTAATTGGTGGTAAATCTAAGACAAATTGATGTACCGTTCTGAAACAACTAAGACTGCATATTCAACACTAAGAAGGCTTCAAAATAATGAAATAAGAATATCAAAGTCAAACCCAATATGCCCTCAATGAAGGGAAAGTAACAAACATTCAGCTCTACATAGATCAGAAACAATAAGTATTATTTAACCTTAAAAAAAAAAATCTATAAAATTCAAAGTGGTTTGCCCTCACTTTCATAACCAGTCAGAAACAAGAAATGCATATTATACCTGTCTGAAATATTTCATCAAGTCTTTCTGCCACCTTCTGTGGGAGGCCTGCCTCTATCAGTGTCTTGTAGTGTTCTGTGTGAGTTACACTGGAAGTATCCATTGGTTCTTCCTCTTCTTTTAACTGTACCGCATTACCATTCACCTGATTAGCCATTTTATTATGCTGCTGGAAAAAATTCAGGAGCTATATTACATTAAGCCAGAAATAACTAGTTTGTAGGACAATGCATGATTTATCTAAACTAATTTGTATACATGCTGCTAATAAACTCTATCAAAATAATATTATATGCCTTTTGTGATGTATCTGACCTAAATTTGCAATAATAATCCTGTAAAACCATAAAAAATGTACATGGAAGCATCAGATCTTTAAGGAACTTCATGTACACCAGGTTAAAAAAAGGCTTGAATTTACTAAAGGTAGAATTGCTGATTAACAAAAGCAGCTGTTGTGTCCTCACAAGCATATCAACAAATCACAAAATCCTAAAAAGCCCATCAGCTCTCAATTCTTATACAGTTTTAAAAGTTTGATTTAGAAACAATGAACACCCACAGACCACTTCATCAAAGTTTAGGGACTTTCAAATTATCCTAGTTCTGCTTCAAATCTAGGATAGGTGTGAAATAAATGCTCTGCTGTCTCTAGTTCAACATGCTGGTGGTTTGGGTTTTCTCCGCCTCACTTAAAAAAGAAAAAACACAACTTGACATTAATTTTCTTCTAAAATTAATTTGCTATTTTCCCATTCACAGATTTAAAAGAAAAAATGACCAAGTTTAAAAGCTAAACGATTGTGTTAAGTCCACATAAAATAAAACATGAGCTATAATTGAGGTTGCTTCTTTAAAAAAAAAAATCATGAGTACGTATTGAATTTTTCATATCAGTAAAATAAATCTCCAAAAACATATTGAAGAATGGACAGCTAACTTCTTCCAAATAGTTTCAACAAACATTACCTAAATTAGGGTAAACTTAGGTCAGATGTCCCAGATTAACCTACCCAAATTATTTTTTTGTATGTTCAACCTGTATGTAATGCTGAAATGGACCAACTCCCTGAAGAGAGAGATTAGATAATAAAACCATATAAGGCCAGTCTCTATACTGCCTCTAAAAGACAGGGAATTAAAGTGCACTGGTCTGTAGTGAATGTGATGAAGATAATAAGCAGCAGAATAAAGACATTGCAACAAATACTGAAATAAAGGACATGAAGGTGGATCTCAAGAAGAAGCCTACTTTTCTTGATGAACCTCAAGGTACCCCAGTTAGCTAGAAAGAAAATACAAGCTTCCTAAAAAGCACTAAAACCCGCGATAATCACACTTCCAAATTGCTTATCAACCACTGTGCAAATGCAGCAGGTGCAGTTTTCTGACCTATAACAACTTCTTTTCATCTCCAAGTCCACAGATACTTAGTTGACATTAATGAAAAAGGGAGGAAGACCAAGGGGAAGGAGGTAATAGAGAACAGGAAGAGAGGAAAATGCAGAAAGGGTTATTCGGAAAATAAGATAAATATGACTTCTTATGATTACAAACGTTAAGACTTGATAGCCCACTAATGTCTATACAGACGCAGACTCTGGTTAAACTCTGGGTGGAGAAATGTTTCTCAAGGCAAGCCTCAAATTCTGATGAATTGGCAAAAACGAAAACATTCAAAACTGGCACGCTTTTGATCAAGAAACTACTTACAGTGTAAGATGAATACGTTTACTGATTAATACAACCTATTTCTATAAAGATGCACTCTAAAGTCCAAAATCTGCGAACATATAGTTCTGTTTGCCCACGTTCCCCCACCCCCAAATACAACCATTAAGATCAGAACTCAAAAGTTCTCAGTATCACAAGACCCTTACAGTATTGCACCTGGGAATTCTATTAGCCACAGAAAAGAAGCAAATTTTTAACAGGAAAGTTCAACGAACATCTGGTAAGGTGGTATTTTTTTTAAGTATGTGTAAAGCAAAAAGACAAGTTGTGTCATTAAGCACAAGATAGAAACATTTATGACCATCATTTCATTGCAAAGGCTCTCCTACAAGTTGATTCTGAAATCGGTTGGAATTTTCAAAAAGTTTGTAAACTTTAACAACAAAAAAAGTAAAATAATCAGATTCCAGAAAATAAAACCTTTCGGACCAAGGAAAAAACCTCTCTCAAGCCAAATACAATGTGCTCATTTAAAAAAAAAAAAAAAAGTCTTTTATGTCATAGGAGATCGTTTAAAACTCTTGTGTCAATTCAACACAATGCCACACAGCCAAACCATATTTCTGGATGCAGCAAATGTACTGTGACTAGAGTCATTTGATAAGCATTTTTGCAAAAAGGAAACATTTAAATAAGATTGTAAAGGGCTGCTGGGAGATTTGGGAAGTCAGCACTTTTTCTGAACATCTCCCTGACTTTTTCTGAACATCTCTGCGCAAATTCTTCATATTAAGAGACGGGCTTTAAAAGGACCAAAGAAATGAAAACTAACGGTTATCTCACGGGCTAGGAGTGTCAAGCCCTTATCCTGCGACTGACTCACGAGACATAAATTCAGCCTCTTGAGGGACAGCAAAAATCTCAAACAGGTCAGCGTGAAAAGGACCGAACCTTTCAAGAACCCCTTGGCTTTAAGTTTCATCTTGTGGCAACACGGTTACTGCCGCCTAAGAGAAAGAATCGCCCTTCCAATTTGGTGCGCCTGTGACAGTCTCAGAATCGTGCCTCTCAGACGCCGCTCGAAGCCTAAGTTTCGTGGCCTCTAGTAGTCATTTTTTCCTTCAAATCTCGGCTCGCAGCATGCAGCGTGGGGGAGGGGAGGAAGGCTTCCTACACACATCGGCCCCTGGGCTCCAGCTCGCACAAAAGTTTTCTCCCGGCTCAGGTAACCCCGGGTTTGCATCCCGCCCCCTGCCCACCCCACCCCCTCAGGCCCGTCCCGATCGGTAACACATCCCACTCGTGGCTAGGCCGGCCGAGACGAGAGCGAAGCGGCTCCGGAGGGGGGGGGGGGGGGGGGGGGGGGAGACGAAGGGGCCGCGGGAGCCTTAGGCCGCCCGGCCGGCCGCGTGGAGCGGCCGGCGGAGGCGGGAAAAACACGGCCGTCCCCAGCAGGCCGCGCGGAGAGCACCCGGCGAAGCGGACCGCGGGCCGAGGGTTGGAGGGGCGGGGGGAGGATGCGCAAGGGCGAGGAGGCGCCTCGGCGGGGCTAGGCCCTCCGCGGCGCGGCCGGACGAGGCCGAAGCCGCAGCCGCCCCCAGCCCATCCCCACCCCCACCCCGGGGCCTCGGTGCGAAAACGAAACTGGGGCCGAGGCGCCGAGCCCGGGATGGGCCCCGTCGGGTCGGATCGGGGCTCCCGGCCCCTCCCCCCACGGGCCGGCGCGAGACTCACCAGGGCAGAGCTGGGGCCGCCGGCCGGGCCCGTGAGAATCAGCGCGAGGCGCTTTGAAAACGACTAGAAATGGCGCGCGCGCCACCCCCTCCCCCCCTCATGGACAGAGACGCGATCCCGGCAGCACGCGGGGTTTCCCGGAACTGCTTCCAGGGACTCCGAGTGGCCGGGCAATCATTTCGCGCGGCGGCCTGAAAGGCAGCCCAGGCGCCCAATAGTAGCGAGAAGCAGCGGCTCACGCAGGGGGACAAGGGAGCCAATCGATGAAGCCATCGGCTGAGCCAATGAGCGAAGTCAGCGCCGCCGGCTGGGGCGCCTCCGGGGCGGGGGCAGGAACACAAAGGGGTCTGTGGTGAAGCCCCGGGTAGAGGCGAGGCTGCGGGGCACCAGGCCCTGAGAAGCCGGGGTTCTTCCTTCCTCGTCCGCCGCCGGGGCGAGACCGAAAAGCTAGGCCGCGTGGCCGCCTGCGGAACCCCGCCCCCTGCTGTCCCCGCGGGCCTCGCTCCGCCGCGACCCTCCCGTCCCTTCGCCCGCGCCGAGGCGTCCCTAATCCCTCTCGCGCCGCCGGCGTTCGCCCCAGACACGCCCACCGCCACGCGGTCGGGCCTCCCTCTGGGTCCTCTTTTGGGCGATGGTTGGAACGCGGTTTAAGAATGATTTGGCCGGCCGTCTGGCTGTAGAGTTTCACGTAGAAAATCATCCCTCGGATCGGAAAACTGCCCCCTGGCTCCCTTCCACACGTCACTGGGTCAGCTCAGAATGTGAGGGAAATCGCCAAAGTTGGCATGACCCAAGAGCAGTGTCAACTCACACGTGCTGGAACAGGGACCTTTTTTCCCACAGGGTTTGAAGCTCATTTTTTATGAAGTAGTAAGGCAGACATACGCATGCGTGAAGCCAAAAGAGCTGTGCGGGGGGGAAAAGAGCTAAGTCCCAAAGGAAGCAAATTCCTGTTATTCCTAAGCCTATTTCTTACCCTCCGCCCTTACCGGTTTGTTCCCTATCCTCGCCTTAGTCCAAAGCCTGTCTCCTCCCACAACCTGCCCAGCTCTTCCCTATCCCAACATCCAATACCCTACTCCTCTTAGGGACTGGAGAAGGTCAAGCAGTGGTCTGCAGGATTTCCAGATACACCAGAGGATCAATTAAGTTTCTCAGAACCGACCAGCCCCAAATTAATTATTAAAAACCTATTATGTGGGGGCGCCTGGGTGATCTAAGCGTCTCTTTAAAGGTTTATTTATTTATTTACTGGGGAGCGGGGAGGGGAAGAGAGATCTGGAGACAACAGAATCAGAAGCAGGCTGCAGGCTCTGTTCTGTCAGCAAAGAGCCCCGTGTGGGGCTCTAACTCACCAAATGTGAGATCATGACCTGAGCGGAAGTCAGACCCTTAAGGACTGAGCTACCCAGGCGCCCCTAAGTGTCTGACTCTTGATTGCGCCTCAGGTCGTGATCTCGCCCTTCGTTAGTTCCAGTCGGGCCTCCATCTCTGGAGCAGACAGTTGGAGCCTGCTTGGGAGTCTCTCTCTGCCCCTCCTGTGCTCACCTTCTCTCTCTCTCTCTTTCTCTCTAAATAAATAAACTTTAAAATTAAAAAATAAAAACCTATGCCCAGTACCAAGCTAAATGTCTCAGTGGATCCAAGTTTTGGATTAGTGAAACTTACACAAATGCTGGGATCTTTGTGAGAAGTAACATAAAATGATTTAAAAAAAAATTGAAAAACACAATCTTGGAAGGGCATGGTGAAA